CTGCCGCTGCCGTGCTCCTGCTTCTCTCTCTGAAGGAGAGAAAACCCAGGGAGTTTTTAGGGGACCAAAGCCCCAGGGGAGGTGACCAGCTCGAGTGTTACAACCCCGTTCCTGGCTCCCCAGGATGCTCCGGCCCTGCCAGCACACGGCCCTCCCCGCCGCCGGCGTGCCCCGTGTCCCAGCCAGTGTGCCCACAGCCAGTGGGAGGAGCGGCGTGTAACCTCTCTCGTGTATTTGCCAACCTTTGCACCTCAAAAGCCGGCGTTCGTTGTATTTCAAGATAATTACATCTGAGCAGACCTGTGTGTCAGGGATGATTCAGACAGGGGCAGCCTCGCCGGCGGGGACGAGGCTAGGACCTGCTTTTGGGCTGGAGCCAGAGCAGGGCTGCTGGACCGGCGGCACAGGAGCTGGGGCTGGCTGGCCCTGGGTTTACGAGCTTTTATCCCTCAGCAGCAAAATCATTCTTCATTTCCAGAAGGGATTTGGGGGTATGTGGCTCTAGGAGTAAGAGATGGGATGGAGCTTTGTCCTGAGCCTCTGCAGGCTCTGGAGGGAGAGAGGTCGTACCGGACATCTAGTAGGACTTTAGTGTGCACAGTAAGTCTGTCCCTGTCCTTGTCCTGCTTATTTCTTACTGTTTTACAGCAGTGTGCAGGGAGACGAATCTTGGCCTCACTGGTCATGGAGAAACCCCCTTCCCGACGGAGGAGCTTGCAGACAGATAGATGGGATGCTAGCTGAGGGACGTGACTTCTCCCAGCTGCCCGAGGCTCCCGCGTCCCCGGAACACGCTGCCGGATGCGTGTTGGGGGAGGACAAAAGCTTGGACATGAAACCGAGCTTCCTTCCATAAAGCTAAGGCTGCCTGCTATGTTTGCCTGGTGATTCGGGCGTCTGCTTGCAATTAGCAGCCCGCCTGGCACATCCAACCGCCCGCGCTCTGCCAGGAGAGCGGCTGCTCTCACCGGGAGGCACCGGCCTCTCCCCGCCGCCGGCTTCCTCGGGAGCCCTTGGAGGCAAAGGGGCACCTCAGCCTCCACACCCACAGCTCTTCAGCCGTGCAGATATTTCCCTTTCAGCCTCCACATCCACAGCTCTTCAGCCATGCAGATATATTCCTTTCGAGCCCATGAAAGGGCGTGACTTGGGCTGGGCGTGTGTGATTTATGGCCATTTGAACAAAAGCCTTCACGCCAGGAGAGAGGATCCATTTTCTCCTCCTCCTCCTCTTGATCTAATGCACTTTAGTTATTTGGTAAATCTTCTAATGGTTTTATAATGCACTAAGTGAAGCAAAGTGACACTATTTTTTCGTATTGATTTTATTGCATCTTACCAGTTTCATAAAGCCAAGATTCAGAGGGAGCTGGAATAATTCAATAATTCATACTGCCCAAGTGGTTGGTTCAAGCTGAGCGAGGATTAACTTTAAAGAGGGGAGCATTTTTCTCCCTGCTCCTTTCCCTGCGTGGATGCTTTCTGCACCCAGAGGGGCCAAATACGGTGCCAGAGGGAGAGCGATGGAGAGGGGCTGGGTTCCCCATTGCCCCGCTCCTCTTCTTGGCATCATGGGCAGCTCAACAGCAGCTCCCTCCACGCACTGTTTGCCAGCTCCCCATCAAAAATAACGTTCCAGGGGTGGTGGAGGGCTGATGATGCTTGGGACAGGAGGATGCCCCAGGGCTGGGGACCCGGCTCACCCTTCCCCAGGGACCATGCGGCAGCCGCGCAGCTGTATCACCCCAGGGCAGGCGTGGGGTCCCCCCGAGATGCATCTCCTCCCTTTCGTCACCGTAAAAGTCTCTCTCGCAGGGGTGTTGTGGTGTGTAGGGGAGCTCTGCGCCCATGGCAAGCCATCAGCAAAGCTCTCACGGTCTAATCCTGGGCAGCAACTCAAATGTTTCGCTGGCTTTGCAATGATGGAGAGCGGCTGCTCTCACAGGGTAAATCCTTCCTTGCTTATGGCAGGGACAGCGGTGGTGTTGCCTGTGATGGCACTCGGGTGTCACTCGGAGAGCTGGGAAGGGGGCGAGGTTCGAGAGGGATTTCCACTGAGAGGGTTCCCTCCACTTCACTTGTACCTTTTTTTTCTGTCCCAATAGTTGTGCCCATGAACGTCAGCTGCACCCGGACGGACTTCCACATCCAGATCCCTGTGCCGTCCCTGGCCCAGCTGGAGAGGAATAGGATTTATTTGGGGACCCCCTCCTGTGCAGCCCAGGTGGTTGGCGGGAACTTTAAAATACACACCAGGTTCGACACCTGTGGTACCAAATCCCAGGTAAGCGGTCGGCAAACCTTCCTTTAAAGCAAGCTAAGTAGATGGCTAGCCCCATGCTGGTCGTACCGGCTGCAGAAAGGAGTTCCCAGTCCCTTTCCCATCTTCCCAGTAGATGCTGGTCTGATTCATGGCCAACTGCCCTCCAAGCCCCTGTGAAAACGAGCTGCACAAAGGCCTGACGAGCCGTGACCCTTGTCTTGCAGAAACGCAACAACACGTCCGTCATCGTCAGCACCCTCTACATCGATTTTTCAGCGGGCGACCGGGAGGACATCCACCAGTACGAGGTGCAGTGTGAGCCGAAGAGGAAGGAAGCCTCGGTGACCCTCATCGCTGGCCCCAACACATCCAGGCTCAGCCAGGCAGAAAACCTGGTGGATGCCCAGCAGCGGGAGGGGGGAGCGATGGACGCCCGCGAAATCAAGAGCCAGGACACCAGCGACATCGTCTTCATCAGCATCTGCATCCTGGCCGGGCTCCTCATGGTCATCGCGGTGGTGGGGCTCATGCTTCTGTAGGATGCTGCTCCCTGAACCTGTGATGCCAGCCCTGCTCGGGGTGGAAACGCGCCCCAAAATCCCACCTTCACCCCAAGTTGAGCACTAACACAGCTGCCTAAATGGAAACACAGCCCCGAAACAGAGCCTGAACCCAACCTCCACCTCCTCCCAGCGCATGAAAAATCTGGGCAATAGGCAGCCGTTTCCCTTCCCAATTTGTTTTCCTCTGTCTCAATCTGTCCATTTGGCTCGGGAATGCAATTCTTGCGCTTCCTAACTCTTCCCACACCTGCTTCAATTTGTTTTCCCTCTGGTGCTGCTGCTTTCGGGAAAGTAACGTTGTTGGCCGATGGCTGCAAATCATCCTGTCAATTATTTCTAGCTGAATTCTTGAAGGTACAAACCATCCCCAAATATAGCGATATTCCCGATAAATATTTTCCAGGCTCCCGTCTGTGCTCAGGGGGGTATCGTAGAGCTGTGTTGTAGGTATCTCCACTTGGCAAGTATAGATGTAGCTCATGTAGATGCTTCCAGGCAGTGTTTCTGTATGCCCGCGGGCGATGTGACGAGTCGCATTCGCTGGGTGCCCTGGAGCTCCTCGTTTGATCTTCGCACGTCGTTTAACCCACCCGTTGCTCGCAGGACTCACCTGAGCGCTTCAGCCACCAGCAAATGGAGGGAAGGAGAACAATCTCTCTTCTCTGTGCTTCCCTCCTTTCCAGCGTGCCCGGGTGCCCACCGCTGTGAGCTCCGTACCGGCGTCGCTCCCGGAGTCTGAAACCATGGGCATGGAGATTTCGGTAACCTTTTAAAGATGGCCTCAGGAGGGGCCGGCTCCCCTGGGACTGACGCATTTTTTGCTGCCAACCTCAGTCACACCAGACCTCCACCCTTGGTCCTCGCAGACGGTGAGCTCAGCAGCCGAGAGCATGAAAAGAGGAGTCCTGTGGGCACCTGCACCTCCAGAAAATTGGGGTTCCTCCCCAAGAGCCCTGACGCTACTGACTGCTGGATGGCCAAATAACCCCCGCCTGCCTCTTGGGCCGCACCAACGCAAAGGAAATTCCCTTTCAGCATCGCGCAGGGGGATGGCTATCACGGAGCAGCCTGTGCTTGTCCTGGCATGGGTCAGAGCCAGCGTATGGCGAAGCCAATGTGAAATCTCGCTGCAGAAGCCGGGTGAATGCAGCCCTGGGAGCCTGGCGTAGGGGTCACCCACCCCAGCCTGTGTAAAACACACTGTGGTGCAGGGAGAGATCTTAAAATGTCCAAACGTGGTCATTCAAAGGCAAAAAATTGAAGCTGAGGGCAGTGGGTAATCCAGGAGTACTTTTTTTTGGTAGCGCTACCTCCCGAGGGGAATCCAGCCTAAGGAGGGTACCGACTGTTCCTGTGAGAGCATCGCACCGCGCAGCAAACCCCTCTTGCTGCTGAATCCACCTGCGGGACTTTTAGCAGGGGCCAACGGGACAGTCCCGAAGGTGAAAGGCTTTCCTGACCGATGCTCTGCTTCCCACGCCGGCTGGGACAGGTCTGCACCCACTGCTGAGCACCAGAGGAAGCAGCAGTAAAGGAAAAGGATGGTGATCAAGCGGCTTCTCCTCTTGGTTTGCACCAGCCCGTGGATGCCTAAGAGGGTGTTTGGGGAGGGAAGAAGGCACAAATCTGCACATGCCTCCTTAACGAGGAGCCTTCGTCATCAGAACCCGGGTTGATTCGGTGTTTGTTGGTGCAACATGTCGGCAAATGCGAGATTTCTGAGTGAAATATTTGCCAGCACTGTTAAGCTCCATTAAGGCAACGTTTTGAGAGCGTGTTGTGTACATAGACGGGAAACAAGGCCAGACCCCCCTGCTGCCTGCAAAGCCTTGCTTACAGTTAATTGCTAGATATATAACTGTCAGCTTGAGACAATAGTTACAAGATTTGACAACTGAAGAAACTTAAAGATATAATTAACCTTCCTGGCAGCCCAGATTTTGCTGAAACAGGTGAAAGCTGCAGCCCGCTGGTGCCTGGCGGGGAGCCCGCAGCACCCAGCAGCACCCAGCGCCTCGCCCGCAGGACGGGCACCTCCTCGCCTGCCAGAGCCTCCGGCACGCTGCCATTTTCAGGGAAAAAGGCTTTTCTGGGTGACTGCTGGTGGTGCACTCAAATAAGGAGTTGGACTTGGTTCCAGAGTCCAGCAGCAATATGGGCCGCTGCTGCACTCACCCCAGGGAGGGTTTCCAGCTCCAGCTCCGGTCCGAAGCCGACCAAGCATCCCCGGGTGCAGCGCTCGCCTTCATGCATCCCTCGGGATGCAGGACGGGTGCTGCGGGAGCAGCTCCGCTCCACTGAGCCAAGGGGCTCCCCAGTACCCCCGGCCCCACAGGGTGTTACCCGGGGGCTCACATCCGGGGTGATTAACGTGACTTGAAGGCTTACAAAAGCCCTTTCCCGGCTTGTTCCTGGACGCGTTTGTAGCTGCATCTGACTCGAGCCAGTCATCCTCCTCGGAGCGAGGAAAGCCTCCCGTGCTCGCGGAGCCCCAGCCCTCCTCAGCCTCCGATCATGCTCCGGCGTGTCTCAGCCTCTCGTTTTCTCCATTAGGTTTTGGCATCCAGTCTCTCCCCGCCCCACAGGATTTTGCTCACTGACATCCCCTGTTAAACCGCCTCTTCCCTGATCTACAGGGCCCTCCCTTTCTGTTCCAAATTTGACACCCTGGGAAGCTGCTTCTGCAAAAAACCTGGAGGTGTCACCACCAGCACTGGCCAGGAGTCCCCCGTGCTCTCAGATACCCAACACCACCGAGTGAGAGGATCCCAATTAAAGCCATGCTGGCAGCGTGGGGCGAAGGGGACATCATGGGGACAGAGGTAACACCTGAGTTTGGGGCCCCAACCATCCGCCTGGTTTGCTGGCCGGGACGTGGGAGCACCACCTCTCCCCAGTTAATGCAGGACTGGTTTCCATCCAAAACGGCAATGGCCAAATGGCTCACAACGTGCCTGCGGCTTTGCAAAGCCCCCCCAGCCCCCTGCGCTGCCCGTGATAACCCCCTCCAGATTTCCAGCCCAAACCTGCTCCTGGCTGGTTTATCCCACTTGCTTCTGCACCCTGCCACTCCCCAAATCGCCCAGTAGCTTCCCCAGCTCCTTCCCCCCACCCTGTCTGGGTGTCCCCCGGAGGGTTTCCCTGCCGTCACCCTGCTGCTGCTGAGCCACGCCATGGACCGGAGCAGGGCCGGCACCCACAGCAGTTCTCCTTCAACAAGCACGTCCGTCCTCGTCCCTGCGAGTGAAGACCCCAGCAGCACGGGAGGTTGCATTGGGACAGCCGGGAGGGGAGAAGATCCCCGGTGAGTGGGTGCAAAGTCCCCTGGCTGGGCACTGCCCCGGCTGGGGAGGGAGCCCAGCCGGGGAGGGGGACGGTGCAAGCCCCCAGCCTGGAGAGAGGGACTGCCCCGGGCCATTTTGTGAAACAAACCCTTTTTCTCATGTAAAAGCTGCTCAGATGAGTTGCAAACAGATACCAGGAATCCATCAGGGCTCCTTCCCCTCCACCATGCCCATGGGCCTCACGCATCGGGCCTCAGTTTCCCTTTTTGGTGTTTGCCCGGCACTTCCCGAGCAGGCACGGAGAGCAGCGGGCGTAGGCAGCGCTCCCATTACTCATCTGATTATTTATTTAGAGCTTGATGATTTGATTGCACTGGGCTGAATGCAGCCACTCCATCTCCTGGCTTTGCTTATGGACGTGGAGTCGCATCCCACCGGAGCAGACAAAGGCTTTGCTGTTCTGCGGGAGGGAGAGCCTCCGTTATCTCTCTGCGAGCGCCTGCATGCAAATCTGATGAAGAACGATCGTTGAAAATTGTAGATCATAGAAAACAGGACTGGAAGAGCCCCCAGGAGATTGCTTGGTTTATTCCTCTCCCTCCCTGGGGGAATCGCTTCTATCGGAGAGAAGCTGGGCTAAAATATCCTAAAAATCCCAGCCATGCTCTCTGTGTTTTCTCTGTTTACTGGGAAGGTTTTCCTAATGCGTCACACTGGTGGGATGTGCTGATGGGGGATATGCTGATGGGCGCTGTGCTTTTGTGCTGCTGCGCTGGGGAAGTGCAACAGTGGTGGAAGCACCCCAAAACGGGCACCGCTGCCTGCACAGGACCCCACTCCCCCTGCCCGGAGGCACGGGGCCAGCCCTGGGGTGCTGGGCAGGACGGGGCATCCCACCGGGGCTCCCAGTAAGCACATGGTGTCATGATCCACAACACAAGGGTCTGGCAGCCTTGGAAAATCCCACCTGCACCTGGAGCAAGCCCCTTCAGGTGCAGGCGGTCATGCCCTGATGGCCACGAGCAGCCTGGAGGAGCCCCAGGGTGGGAGCGCTCTGCTGAGGATGCAAACTGGAGAGAGCTGTGCCCAGGCTTGCACGGAGTCCCTCTGATGTCCCCAAAGCTGCGGGCAGGCAGGTAGGGCACCGTGGGGCTGGGAAAGAGCGTGGTGCAGGCAGGGTGCCAGCTTGCCTGTACCGGCATCGCTGCTCTCCGGTTCCCCTGGAGCCACCCGGCGCGAGGGAGGCGAGAGGCCGAGCGGCTGGGTGAGCTCTGGGGATCGCTTGGGGCTGGGTGACCCCTCGGTGGCCATACTGGAGCCCCCCAGGGACGCTGGCTCTGTCCCTGCAGTGCAGGGTAGAGCTTGGGGCTCTCTGGTTGCTCGTGCACGGCTGCCTGGCTGCACACGCCGTCGGGGTGCTGGCGTGGGGAGAGGGACGGGGCTGCAGGTCAGGGGCTGCAAACCCAGCCCTGGGGGTCACCCTGCGGGAGCTGGCTGTTTGAGGGGCTTCTCCTTTCCAAAGCAGTGCTTCGGCTGTGACAGGTAGCTCGGGTCCCTCTCCTTTCAGGAATGCTTTATAGACCCCCCACGCTTGGAAAAAAACAAAGAATGTCCCGATGCTTTCTTAAGCAGAAGCGTCGCACGCTCCGCTCGCTTGAGATTTATGTGGCCCGAGGGGCGCAGTGAGGTTCT